AAAAAAAAAAAAAACTGTTAATCCCTAACATTTGTTTCAATATATCATTTAAATATTTCTATTTTTTTATTTTATATTTTCAAGTTTTTTAGGCTCTCAATTTTTCTGTTTTTTACAATTGGATGATATCTTTTTTTCCTTTTTAACCTGAATTTTATTTTTAATTTTTTTTTTGTATAAAACTCTGATGAAATGCATTGTTCATCTAATCCAACTTTTATTCTTCAATATAATCAATGTAATTGAATAATAAAAATTAAAGTATATATATATGTGTGTGTATGTGTAGTCTTTTAATAAAAGTTGCTAGTTTAATCATATTTATATTTATCATTTTGTTCATTTTATATTTTCTGATATATTCATTAATAATTTTAAAATTATTTTAACTCCCCGAATTGCACCTACGTTTCGTCCTTATACAGTTCGTGCAGTTAAGGTGTGGATATTTTATTATTTTGTATAGGCAGACGCAAACGGGACGTTGACATGCGGCGAGCTCACATCGCAACGCTTAAACCGCTGTCTTGCACGCAACCGCCACCCGCCGCCGTGTCTATATAGTATATACAACCACCCCCCTCTCTCACCCCTGCAATTTATCCAGGCGTGGTCGATGGTTGAGCAGTGAACCTGTCCTAGTGGTCCAGCTAAATTCAGCTGAGTTTTGTATGTATTTTTCTTCCTTTTTTCCCCATTTTTTTTGGTCGATCGGAAGCTGAAATTCACTTGATTTTAGCAGCGACTTTGTGTGAAATTTGATTGATATTTTGATTTTAAATTTCGGGAGATTTGGTGGTGAGTTTCAGAAAATTACTGATTTTTTTGATGATTGTGTATCGCTTGTTGTGCAGTTGACGAGAAATTTGTATCGGATAATCTGTGATGTCACTGGCGGTCGGAGTTTGCTCGAGTGCACACTTTGATTTTGCGGAATTGCCGTTTACGAAGTCGCTGGGCTGTGGCAATTTCTCGAGCAGGCGAGTCGATTTGTCGTCTTTTTCGAGAAATTTGAGGCGTAGGAATGGGAGATGGCGTGTCGGGTGCTTTCCTTCAGCTGGAAATGTGGCTCGAGAATTGGAATCAGAGGAGGATTCTGCTGCAAGCAGCTACAGAAATGATGATGATGATGATGATGATTTAAGCCATGTGATGAAGTTTAAAATGTCGGATTTCGAAATTCATGATCGTGTTAGCGTTGGTCTTTCGGACAAGGTAAATCTTCCATTTATTGCAATGATTTCAATATTCTTCCCTTATTCTGTGAATTGAGTTCTTGAATATTGTTGATTGTATTTGGGCTATGAATCAGGGTGATGAGATAGTATACGAAGCAACGGTGAAGGACCCCAACAGGTTCGTTTCGGTTTGTGAAAATCGTGAGGACGAATAATAATATTTTGTTATTCATGAAAAGATAAATGATTAGATGTTGATGATAGTTTCTTTCTAGTAATGCAGTCCACTGTTTAACACGAGGGTTGTCCTTAGGCAGCTGGTCAGTAATCAGGCTAAGCGTAGGGGGAGACGAGCAATCGAGGTTAACTTTATGTCTGAAAATGATTAATTTCTTCTTCTTGCTGAGAATGCTGATTTTTGGTTGATTCTTACTTTCTACTTCATGGAATTTGATTCTTCTAGGTATTGAAAAGGCTGGCTCGCCGTAGAATAATGTACCATTCTTATTCGATGCAAGTTCATGGCTATGTGTGCCCGTCCACAACTAGCGACTGTGGTTCGTTTATTCTTGTTCATGGAGTAGGTCAAATGCATCCTCTGTGAAGTCCATATTTGTAGTGATATTTGGGATAACTGAAGATCTAATTCTTTTCATTATTAATTTTGCAGTACCATGGTAGTTTTTCTTTGAGACATTGGCTTCAACAATCCGATTGGCTCCCAACTCTCGAGGCGACCCTTACGTTGGACGAGGAGACTATCAGAAGGGTCGGGGACGACACGGTTGGTGGGCCCGCGGTATCTCGACAATTGCGGCTTATTCGGGTTTTAATGCGAGATCTGCTGATTGGAGTATGTCTTTCTATTTTCCTCTTTGAGCCTAGTTTTCAGTATAAGCATCTGTATTTCTTTCTCTAAAGCGATCAGAAAAATAATTTACTCTTTTTTTCTATGTGTAAACATCAGGTGAATTACCTGCACAGCCATGGACTTGCGCATACAGAGTTGAGAATTGAGAATTTGCATATCAGCCCCGTGGATAGACATATCAAAGTATGATATTTGTATACTTGGTGCTTTTACTTCGTATACCAACCGTTTTCTACTTTATTTTTTTTTTTCAACTGCCCTGTGTTAGGTTGGGATATTGGGAAACGCAGCTGATTTTACTGACTGCAATCCAGATGGCAGCAAATTAGATAGGAGGAACATGATGATTGCATTCGACATGAGGTATCATATTCAGTATGCTAAACATACCTTTCTTCTGTGGCTGACCTATCAAAAGCTATTCATAGATACTTCTTCAAAATGTGTGTGTGCAGATGTGTTGGATTTATCATGGCCAGAATGGTAATAAGGGACCTCATGGATCCGTTGATTTTCACCAAGTTCAAAGCATTCCTCTCCAAAGTAATTTTTTTATTTTATTTTTTTAGTTTATACAGTGTCCTAAGTTGAATCTTTCGTCTCTGATTTTAAACCCCTTTTTTTTGGAATTCAGGGTAATGACCCTTCATGCTTGCGTGAGTTTTTGATGCATATTGTTGATAGAAATTCGTCCTTTAAAAATGTTGGGTTCCAAGTAAGTAGATGAATTTTTTTCCATATATATATTTTTTTTTTTTTCGGCATGTTCACATTTGGTGGACTCCTTTACTTCTTTTAATTCCGAAAGGAAATAAGATGTGATGGTGCACAAAAAACTGTTGCAGATACTTGATAGAAAATGGGGTGCAGGTTGGAATTTACTCTCTCTACTTCTTGCTACAAATCCCTCAAAGAGAATAAGGTAGCCGATTTGATGTTGTGCCCTACCTCTGAATAAAAGGAAAAAAAAAAAAAAAATCGTATGCGTGTTAACTGCTCAAACCAATATCTTATGTTATGGTCGATTCGAATTTTTGTGATTCAACAGTTGCTTGGATGCTTTGAGGCATCCTTTCTTGTGTGGACCAAAATGGCGTGTTGACCCCACAATGGACATGATCAGATGGAACCTGGGTTCAACAGCAGTTCGAATCACAGAGGAATATATTTACAGTCAGCAACAGGTTTTGCCTCTACTCTCCTTAGTACTCAAAGCCTGATATGTAATGTTGTGTGCTTGTGGTACTCAATGAAATATATTTACAGTCAGAAACAGGTTTTTGCCTCTACTCTCCTTAGTACTCAAAGATTATGTTGGACTCTACTTGTATTAGTTGTTAATTATTAGAGATGTGTGGAGAGAGAAAGTAACTGCATAGAATTAACTTATGCGAAAAATTATCGATTTCCAGCCTCTGTTCATTTTTATTCCCATTGAGCTCAGGAACCTTGATCTGCGACTGCTACTGAACCTTTATATATATGACGAGTTTGTCCTTCATTCATTTGCGACTAACCTCTACTATTATTATTATTATTTTGTTTTATGATTCAGAGAAGAAGAATAGCACATATCATTGAACTAATGGAGATGCTAAATCCTCACTCAAAGCCAAGGGTAAAATAATAATTATTATTATTATTATTATTATTATTTATTTATTTATTTAGGCAATCATTAGGAGAAATTTGTAATTAACACAATTATAATGCCTTGCCTGGCTTCATCAGCAATGGCTGGAACTCCTTCCCGGCAAATGGCGTTTATTGTACAGCACAGGCCGCCACATAGGATTAACTCTTCGCCAGCCCACAACCCGAGTTCTCATTGGCGAAGCCCACTTAACGATAGCCAAGCTCTCTAAACCACATGCAACTTTCTCCATCCAATCGGACGTTAGCTTCACAGTCATGCCCGGTCGAGACTGGGCCCTCGACAAGAAAGGCACAAATGGTAAACTTCAGATTACCTCTCCTTCAAAACTGAGAGCCGGAAGACGGTTTTACATAAATGAAAAAACTGCCGACCAAATCAACTTGGCCTACTCACCAGACGTTAGGGATTTCATATTGGAAAAACTGTCGAGCAAGAAATGGAGAAAGATTGTCCCTTTAAAGGAGTTCCCTTCGAGCCTACCCGTGGCTAAGCTCATTACAAGCGATGTCGATATCACAATGAGTATGGATGAGCCGTTGAGTAGAGATGTTGTGGCCGCGCAAAATGTTGTTCGAGAGGTGAGGACCCAATTGCCACCTGAATTGTTTGATTTGTCGAAGATTGTTTGCGGGACTTGTGTGGATTCTAGGTTGCTTGTGCTTCGTAGCGTGAACGGCTCGGCAGTATTGTTCGCAAGGTCCTTTTGTAAATGAGGTGTTGATAATAAGTGAGGTTAATTTGTGAAAAGTGAATGTAAGATTGTTGATAATGCAAATATAGTCCCCTCCATTGTAAATGAGACTAGTACAGAGCCCATGCGATGCACAGGGTGTACAATTTTAAAATCATTTATCGAGTCTTATAATTATATAATAAATTAAAAAAAATGTACGGGATATATATAGTACGTGACATGTAATAGGCCAAAATATAAACACGGGTGATGCATGCGGTGCACAATTTTAAGGTCATTTATTAATACAGAGCCCGTGCAATGCACGGGGTGCACAATTTTTTAGTATGTGCAATAAAAATACATACAGTATGCACGGGACAGAAGCACTAAATGAGTCATTTCCACAGAGCTTGCCCGTGAAGTAGTTCTTGAACACAGGTGCACAATTTGTAGTACGTACCATAAAATCAGAACATATTTCCATACAATTAGATAATAAATTAGATAATAAATTAGATAATAAATAAAGCCTTTTTTATTTTAGTAAAGATTTTACGTACTTTGTTTTTTTACTTATCGGATGTTATGGGATTTTTTTGTTAAACCGATTTTATGGAATATAATACAAATACAATTAGAGGATTGAACAAAATCAGAACATATTTTTACACAATTAGATAATAAAAAGGAATTGGATAAGGAAAAAAAAGAATTAGATAAGAAAAAGAAGGAATTAGATAAAGAATTTTGAATCTGACTTTTTTTAAGTATAGATATACTTTACGTACAAATTTTGACTTCACTGATTTTATGAGATTTGTTTTGACAAAATCGATGTTAATATAGAGTAAGACAAATAAATAAAGTCTTTTTATTTTAGTAAAGATTTTACATCTTTTTTTTATACTTATCAGATGTTATGAGATTTTTTTTCTTAAATTGATTTTATGGGATATAAGATAAATAAATAAAATAATTAAATAAAATTATGGAGAGAAATAGCAATGTATTAATTACATTGACTTTTCAATCTACTAAATTTGGTAAATAGGATACCTTATATAATAAGTATAGATATACAAATAAATAACATGCCAAAATTTTAAAGAATAATTAATGTATTTTAAATTATTATCTAGCCATCAGTAATATCATTTAATGATATGATCATTATCTCTTAAATGATAAATAAAATATTAATTTAAAAAAAAATTATTTGTTTTTTATATACTCAAATAAAAATTAAAAAACACTATCGTCAAATATGAATTATAATATATATAAGTAAAATTATTGCAGAAGTTAATAAAATTATTTTAGGAAAGAATCTTGTTGATCATATTTGAATATGAAATGTGTATATGCAAGCAATTAATGCATATAGTAAAAAATTTCCAAATAAAGTATGCATTAAATGTGAGTTTACTTTTCTTGCTACTATTTTTGGTAAATAGAATGGCTTTTAATATAATTGGTAAATATGATGACTTTTAATATAAGTATAGATTGTTGTTAATGCAAATATAGTCCCCTCCATTGTGGATACAAGTACTTGAAATACGATACGAAATACGAACATAGATTGACACGATATGAGAAATTAAAAACACGATTACAGAACGAATTGAAACACGAAAAATAAAATAAAAAAATTTGCTGAAACGTTTGTTTCATAAGGGGATTTGGCTACACACACATTTCATAATTCATACTGATTACCTAATGAGATGGAAAAATGCATATGCCAGTTTCATGGTTTGCATAACAAGTCTGTATGGCCAAAACTTAGACAAAAGATTGCAGGGTCTACAAATTCAAGGTGCATCAAATAGTAAAAAA